CTATTGTGCTAATACCACACCTACCATGCTAATGACATTCTCATGAAAAACTTAAACATGATTATCCCTTAATTAATCATAATTAATGTTAATTAATCTTAATTAACATTAAGCTAATCCTGATTATCTTAAGCTAACCTCAATTAATTAGCTTAAACATGACTTAGATTAATTAAGCAAGGTTAAATAACCAGTACTTAATTACTAAAGAATTTCGGAACATGACTTGAATATTACAGACTTAATCCGTAATATACTTTACTGGAATTTACTCGGTTAATAAAATTAACCATATATATACTGTCGATTGACGTCGAACATAAGATTGAACTTGACTGATTGACTTTGACTTGAACTGATTAAATTAAACTTGAACTGTGACATGCTTATTTATTAATAAAGACTAACTTATACTGAAAAGCTAGTATTTTCCTTTATTAATAAAACTCGGGGTGTTACACCAGACAGGAAAGATGAACTTATTGGATCAATGTTGTTAATCTAAACAAACATAAAAGTTCTTCATAATATTTTTTTAGCCTTTATCAGTTTGTAACGTTTTATCAGTGTAGAAACATTTTCATGATGTTCTATTTATTCCACGATTTGTTGATTCATTACAACTTTGAACAATCTATGAAAATTATTAAGCCGCCTTCTGGCAAATATGTATGGAATTATGTGTTCGTGTATCATAAGTCACAAACATAATGAATAATATTACAAATTATTCATTCAAACTTTTATTCATTGCAAATATGTTAAAATAGTTTATATAACAACCATTAAATATCACTTTCAATATATTTATAAGGCCTAATTGCCGGTAAAATCATGACCTTACAACATTTTGCCGTTTTAACCAAACTTTTGGAATTTAACAAACATAACATAACCTTGTCTATTTTTGGCAATTCGAATCACCGGGCTGAATTTCGGGCTTTGTACATCACCAGTAAAAAAATAAAATTATGCAACACTGGGGTTCGAACTTTGTACCTCAAATTTGTATTATGGCATTGTAAGCACAACACCAATCCAAGTTGTATGTTATTAAAATGCTTAATATATATAGATAATACGTATGAATAAATCAAATTAAATTTAAAAGTTAATATAAATTTTAAATTATATAAATAAGATGTAAACTTATAATAATTAAAATATAATAAAATAAATTATATAATATTAAATAAAAATAATATAATATTAGATAATAAAGTATAGAAAATTTAATCGAAAAAAATATATAAATCAATTAAAATAATAAATTAAAACAAATAGAAATCTTAAATGAATATAATAAAAAAAAATATTATATGAGTTTATTATAATTTATTATTTATTAAATTATTATATTAAAAATAATATAAATAATTTTTTAAATTACTATATTCAAATAATAATTTTTTATTAAATTATATTTAATAATTTATTAAAAAATAAATTAAATAATTTATTAACTTATTATATTAAAAATGAATATAATAAAATAATGAAATATCATTTGAATATAATAATTTATTTAATAATTATATAAAAAAAAATAATATAAATAATTTATTAAATTACTATATTTATTTTTTTATTTAATTAGATTTAATAATTTATTAAAAATAATTTAAATAATTTATTAACTTATTATATTAAAAATGAATATAACAAATTATTATATTAACAAATGAATATAATAAAATAACGAAATATTATATGAATATATTAATTTATTTAATAATTATATAAAAAATAATACAAATTATTTATTAAATTACTATATTTAAATATTTTAATAATTATGAAAAATTTTAATTTATTTTAATAAATATGTAATATATAAATTTAATTTAATTAAAATTTTACTCTAATATAAAATAACTTATCTTATTAATATAATTTACATTATATTTTAAATTTGATTTGATTTATTCATACAGAGTGTCTATATATATATTAAATGCTATTAAATTTAACAAACAATTTGGGTTGGTCTAGTGGTTCCAATGTTATCATACAACCTTGAGGTCCTAGGTTTGAACCCCAGCGTCACTTATATTTTTATCGCCATTGTTTATCACCACTGTAGACAAAGCCCGAAATTCGGCCCGATGATTCGAATTGCCAAAAATAAACAAGGTTATGTTATGTTTACTAAATTGCAAAAGTTTGGTTAAAACAACAAAATGTTGTAAGGTCATGATTTTACCGGCAATTATGCCTATTTATTATAAATAAAAAGTACATACAATTTCTGGTGTGTTCAAATTTAAATAATTTTTGATGGAATCAATTTTAAATTATTCAGACATTTGGTCAAACGCATAGGTGTGTTCAAATTTAAATAATTGGCATTTTGTTCGGCTGAAATTTAAATCATCTACCATGGTACTGTGATGTGTATAATATATATATATATACATACATTTTTTAACAAATAATATGTGCTTTATAAAAATAATAATAATTTCACAAGATTTTAAACGTAAAATCTGGTTTTAATCACAATAGAAAAATTATGGTAAGTTGTATTGAAAAGGTGTTATGGGATAAAACAATTAAATAAAATACTTGATGGAAATAGAATGCATTAATTATCTTTGACTTTTCTTACTACTAATTCTAGTAAATATGATGCCTTTTTATATAAGTATAAATTTTTCTAATGTTTTCATATTATTTTTCTCTTATATCCACTATTAAGGGTGAGCAAAACCGAACCGAACCGAGCTATTGGGTGTGCTTATCGAAGAGTTTGGTTAACGATGCGACTTGGGTTTTGAAAAACCGGAGATATTTTGGTGCGTAGGTTTTCTGTCCGAAGGGTGCGGTTTTAATCGAACCGCACTGAATATCATAAAATCAGTAAAATTTACACTTTAGTTTTACACTTTATGAGTAAAATTTTGGACACAACATCACATAAACATTTACATTTAAATTTAAAAGTGAGAATCTTCATTTCTATTATTTCTTGCCCTAATTTTCACTTTCAACATCAATATGTGGTTATTCAATTTTAATTTCAGTTAACCGAAAAACTGCACCTAACCGGTTATTTTTTTTATGACGGTGCGGTTCGGTTAAAAAATCTTAAATATTCAGTTTTCGATTTTTATCGGTACGGTTCGAATGCTCACCCCTAACCACCATCTCATCGGCTAACCCAAAGTGAGAGTTCCATACAAAAAGACAAATTTACCCCTACCGATACTCCCAAACTACACAAGCGGGACACTGCTCGCATCACAGTCCCACCACCATGCCGTCACCCATCAGACAGCCGCAGATGCCCGAACCGTTCAGCTCCATTTTTCTGTCAAATTTCTACCGAACATATCTTAATTATTTAATGCAAAATTGCGACTTAAGTTGATAAACCACACCAACTATTAAAAGAAACAAAACAGAAATAAAAATGAAAAAGATGCCTCAGGCCCCAGCTCAAGAACAGTGCCCACCACCATCTCTCTATCACTTTCCCTTTCCCAATGCTTTTCTTCTCCACCCGATATACGATTTGTATTTTCTTGCACACTTTTCTGTTTGCTTCTAACCCCTCTCTTTCTCTTTCCCTGGAAAACAAGAAACAAGGGGAGTTCTTGTATAATTTAACTGATTATCTCCCTTTTTTTACCTGACCCATTTCCTTACGCAGCGATCAAATTCTCTCCTTGCCACGAAAGTCTGTGTTTTTTTTGTTTTGGGTTCTCTTTCTCTCAACCCCATCCCAAACCCATGTTCTTTCAGTTACCCGTTTCTCGTTTTGCGCCAGATTTGTGTTTCTGTTGATATTTTGATAGTCGAAGGGTTTGATTAGTAGGAGAAGGGAATGTCGCCGGAAGCGGCGACTGCAGCCGCAGATGCGGTCGAATATTCCTTCGCGCTGGAGTATGACGGCCCGCCGGTGACCCGTGAGCTGCCGCGGGCCGTGCCCATCAATGTGGATCGGATCCCGGTGGCCGCCGTCGTTTCGCCTCGGCCGTATTCAGACAGCTTTGCGCTGCCCGTCGTGCAGCCGATTTCTGCGACGGACATAATAGGCAAGAAGCTATCCAGGGATTTGAAATTAAGCTCATCCTCGTCGGAGTTACTGACTGTCTCCCCAACATCGGTGATTACGTTTGATTCGCGGAATAATGAGCCCAGCGAGGGCTCCTACAGTAAAGAACTAGGTTTAGGTACCGAGACCAGTGTTTCTCCTAGCTCGATTCAGGAAAGAAATCCCGAAAATTGCCTCAATAATGATGCTTGCGCTTCATCCGGCGAGCTCACTAGTGAATTCGAGTGCTGTAATCGTGATGGTGGGCTGGATGGAGTTAACGAGACGGGATATTCATCTACTAGTCGTGATCTCTCGTGTGAGTTCATAGGTGGGATCGAGAGCTCGGGGGCTTTAGGCTCTTCCTACAGCTTTGAGAAATCGGGGGAATTTTCAGGGAGTTTGCGAAAATCGAGGCTGTCCACTGGTTATAAAGAGAGCATGGACTTTAATGAGTCTAACCGGACAGATTGGGAATCGAACGAGTCGGTCTTGAGCGTTGATTACCTGTCATCTAGGGTTTCTTCTTCTATGTTTGGGGATAAGAATCGCGAATCCAATAGCGAAGCAAGGCGGGCCCCAGTGGTGACTTTCTGTGACATTGAGTCTGATGATGAGAACACTATTGAAGAGTTTACTCGTGTGGTGGAGCCTGAGGTTGTTCGAGCGAGAAAAGAACCTGCAGTTAGGGTCAAGAAAGGTGCGTGTTATCGGTGCTTGAAAGGGAATAGGTTTACAGAGAAGGAGGTTTGCATGGTTTGTGATGCCAAGTACTGCAGTAATTGTGTGCTTAGAGCAATGGGGTCTATGCCCGAGGGCAGGAAGTGTGTGACTTGCATCGGGTACCCTATTGACGAGTCGAAGAGAGCTTATTTAGGAAAATGCTCTAGGATGCTCAAGCGGTTATTGAATGATTTGGAGGTTAAGCAAATAATGAAGGCTGAAAAAGTGTGTGAAATGAATCAGTTGCCTCCTGAGTATATCTGTGTGAACGGTAGGCCTCTTTATCCCGAGGAGTTGATATTGCTTCAAAGCTGCTCTAATCCACCAAAGAAGCTGAAGCCGGGGAATTATTGGTATGACAAAGTATCGGGTCTATGGGGAAAGGTGAATGACGATAGGAGCTCAACTGTTTTATTCCGGTGTTCTTTTCGTTTTAGTTTTAGCTGTTTACCTTGTAGTTAAAAATTGCACTGCATTTCCAGGAGGGACAGAAGCCTTCTCAAATTATTAGCCCACATCTCAATGTTGGGGCTCCTATTAAGCCAGATGCTAGCAATGGGAATACACAAGTTTATATAAATGGCCGGGAGATCACAAAAGTGGAATTGCGTATGTTAAAGGTTGGCATTTGGTTTCATCAGCATACATCTGAGAGTGTTGTCTTGTGCTTTTTTACTTACCCTTTTCCTTTATTAAATTTTTCGGCTTAAATTTCTGTTTTTGGATTTTATAGTTAGCTGGAGTCCAGTGTGCTGGGAATCCACATTTTTGGGTGAATGAAGATGGTTCGTATCAAGAGGAGGGACAGAAAAATACGAAAGGGTATATCTGGGGCAAGGTTCGACTTCCTTCAAATTCCTAAACACTTTGTTCCCTGTAGCAGACACACGAAAAACAATATTAATAAATATTTTTGTGAGTTTGTTTACTTTTACTCTGTTATAATATTATATCCTACCTTGTTGATGCTGCTGTCCAGACTGGAACAAAGCTGCTTTGTGCTGTACTCTCTCTTCCAGTTCCTTCTAAGTCATCGCAACCATTTGGAGAGCAAGTTACTAGCATGAGTAGCAGGAGTATGCCTGAGTATCTTGAACAGCAAACAATTCAGAAACTTCTCTTGATAGGATATAGTGGATCTGGGACAAGTACAATATTTAAACAGGTAACTTCTAATTGTTCTCCTGAGAGACATTTGGAACGTGTTTACCAGAATTATTGTTAACAAATCGTATTAGGTTTCACATTAAGGTCTTTCCTGAGTTTTTGGAGCCATGTGATGCCGTATGCATTTATTTAGTTAAGAAAGTCCGTTTTGGTTTGATTGGAATCTTTTGCCCATTTATCTCAAAGGCTATGTTGACTATGGCTATGTTTGGTAAACCAATAAGCTAGCTTATAGCTTATTTGATTAGCTTATAAGCTCCCTGTATTTAAATAAGCTCCGTTTGGTAGGACGAGCTTATTTAAAAAGCTCGAGCTTATTTGATAAGCTTCTTTTGGTAGCTTTTCAAATAAGCTCGTTGAAATTTTTATTTCAGCTAGCTCAGTTAATTTTACCAAACATTTTTATCATATAAGCTAGCTTTTCAGCTATAAGTCATAAGCTATAAGCTATAAGCTCGAAAATTACTAATAAGATATAAGCTAGCTTATCAGCTATCAGCTAGTATTACCAAACATAGTTATATTCAAACCTTTAACATCTTACCAAGTCTGTTTTCGATGGGTCAGGCCAAAATTCTTTACAAAGATGCACCTTTCACAGAGGATGAGCGCGAGCACATTAAATTAGTTATCCAGAGCCATATGTATAGTTACATTGGAATACTTCTTGAAGCTCGTGAGCGGTTTGAAGAAGAAAGTTTGCATCAAAATCGCTCTTCTGATAGTTCTAATTCAGGTATAGAGTTTATCTGAACATTCTTTTTTTACCTATCATATGAGTTATTTTCAGTTGTTAGTCATCTTTTGTTTTGGTTAATAGTAGGGCATGTTGGGAATGGAGAGGAGAATCCTTATTCCATCTCTCCACGTTTGAAGTCATTTTCGGATTGGCTTCTTCGAATTATGGCATCGGGTACTTTGGAGGCAATATTCCCTGCTGCAAGTCGGGAATATGCACCTTTGGTCGAGGAGCTGTTGAGCAGTGCGGCTTTTCGGGCAACTTACAAGCGAAGAAGTGAATTGGATGCTCTTCCCAGTGTTGCAAGCTATTTCCTGGAACAGGTGAGATGATTCCTGCTTTTACATGTTTGCCTTGCATGTTAGACCACATTTTAGGGAATAAGGTTGATAGTTAATTTACGAGTAAATCGATAGCTTATAAAATAAGTGGATTCTCAGGTTGAGAGCTATAGGGTCTGACAGAAACTACATTTTGCAGAACAGTCCTTTTTATGTGAAAATCTCAAGTTTGGTCTTGTAGAATCTTCGATTTGCAAAATAGCAACATAGTTATGTGAAATTTTACTCTGTCGTAATTTTTTTACCATCAATCACGTGACTGGCTTATACAACATCCTACTTTTGGTGAAAATAGGATCAAAACCCTAATATACTTAATTACTTATATAATTGGAGGGTTTTTTCTTTAATCGTGTAATTTTGTGGACCGAATTCGGGATATCAATATAATTAGATTAATTTGCAAATAGTTCATTTCACAGGACTGTTCTGCTACCATTATGAAGTGGCAGGACCAAAGTTATTTTACTATTAATTTTGTTCGAAGTTTCCTAAATATTTGTTACTTCTTAACTGTACACCCTGATATCTTCTGCTTGGCCCCTGCTTAGGCTGTTGAGGTATTAAAACTGGATTACAGACCATCTGATTTGGATATCCTTTATGCCGAGCGTGTTACTTCATCCAATGGACTTTCATGCGTGGAATTCTCATTCCCCGACACAGCATATGATGATAATGTTGACAGCGGGGCTATGCGTGATTCCCAGCTCAGGTAAATGCTATAGTTTCATTTAATTTCAACTTAATTCCATCTAAAAGGAAACCAATGGGACAGCACGAATTTTGTTGATACTGCCGGACCATCTGAAAAATACTTGGAATATTTTAATTTCAACTTAGTTTATAAAGGAAATAATTATTTAATGCTCTTTTTTTTTCTCCTTTTTCTTCTTTTTTTTTTTTGCTCAACCGGTCATAGGTATCAGTTGGTTAGGCTACAAGCCAAAGGATTTGGAGAAAACTGCAAGTGGCTTCAGATGCTTGAAGATGTCCGAATAGTCATCTTTTGTGTCTCCTTGAGCGATTATGACCAAATTGACCTCGACACGTATGGCAACCCACAGAATAAGATGCTCTCGAGCAGAAAGTTCTTCGAGAACATAGTGACTCATCCGACCTTCGGTCAAGTGGATTGTCTTCTCCTCTTAAACAAATTTGACTCGTTCGAGGAGAAAATCGAGCATGTCCCCTTGAGCCTGTGTGACTGGTTCAACGATTTCCATCCTGTGATCAGCCGTAACCGGAGCAGTAGCGCGAATCATCCGACCCTTGGGCAGTTGGGCTTTCATTATATTGCTGTTAAGTTCAAAAGGCTCTACTCAGGCCTAACGGGCCGGAAACTTTATGTGTCGCTCGTGAAGGGTCTTGAGCCCAATAGTGTGGATGGGGCACTTAAGTATGCAAGGGAGATTCTGAATTGGGATGATGAGAGAATCAACTTAAGCTTGAGTGAGAACTCGTTTTATAGTACAGAGGCAAGCTCGAACTCTCACTGAGATGTGGGGCCCACATTTTTTGTACAGAAGTCGTGTGTGAATGAGGAAAGAAAAAAGAAAAGACGAGTTAGTTGTGTTGACATATGTTCTCTGTTCTTTGATGTGTAATCATATTGTGTATTGTATTATGTAGTTGGGTTCCTGCTAATGGATTGAGAAGTAGCTCTGATGTTATTTGATAGTGTATCAGTGTGGTATTTTATGGGAATTACAATGTTTCTGTTCTATCTTTTGAGAGTGTAGTATAATATATAGCCACATCTGTAACTGTTTCAAGCGCAGAGGAATTTAAGATATAGGATGATGTTAAGATGGTGATGCTATCATTTTAAATGGTTTTGTATTCAGTTACGTAGTCTGGCAGTGGAGAGGTTTCGGGTCCGCAAGGGACTCAAACTTTATATAGATACAACGGGGTTTTGTGATTTTTTCATGTCATATTTTTTTAGTACAAAAATAGAGGCGAAAGTCTTAGACGACTATTTGCAGGGATAAAAAACCCCTAAGAGGGTCTTCAAGAATGTAAAGTCCACTCGGAATGGTCGAGGCCATTGACGCACGATGGTCTTCAAGAATGTAAAGCCCCCTTTGTGAAATTTCCATATGCCATTTCTTTTGATGTTTGGATTCTGCAAGAAATAGATCTATGTATTTTGTTTATAAATTTTTTCTACATATGGGGACATCTTAGTTTCTTCCTTTACTTTGGAGTAAATAATATTCAACACTAGAATAGAATGAGTGAAGATAACCCAAGCCATACCATACGCAGTGCCGGCTCAGGAGGGGGGCAGCCAGGGCACCGGCCGGGGGCCCATGGATGGGGGGCCCAAGATTATATAAGTATGTAGTGTATATATATAATCTTGTACAGTATTTGGTATATATAATATATTAAATAGGCCTTTTGTTTTATTTGAAGGCCCAAGTTAATTGACAAAGAAAAAGCCTTGTACGGATCTCATCTGTACAACTAAACTATTAAACAAATGTCGGTAGAGTGAGAGAGTTAGAGAGAGAGAGGATCGAAGTGAAAAGTCAGTTATACCCTCAACCCATGTAGTATAGTGTAGAGTGAATATTTTGAGGGTATTTTGGTAAAAAAAAGTCCAGCTGAAGAATATGGTTGTCGGCTGAAGAAGAATTGAATCCTGCCCCGAAGACAATGGGCCCATATTTCTTGCTTGCCCATAGGCCCTTCAAATTACAGAGCCGGCGCTGACCATACGATAGAGTAGTCCACTATAGTTTATAGTGTCGAAGATGAGATGACCTAACCGTATATTTTACAATCAACTAGTAAAGTGCACGTGCGATGCACGTGGTGTTGAATGATTTTCGCGGAGTAAGTTTGTAAAATAAATTAATTTATTTATTAAACATATCATTGCATAAATGAAATAAAATATAGAAAAAATAAACTCATATGTGATTTTTTTTATTTAGAATTAACATAATGATGTCCCAACAAAAATTTAACGTTCTCATAAGAACATTCGTAGTCGTTGGAGTCCAATACATCAAT